CCTTGGGAGTCTTTTCAAAGTTTCACTGTTAATCCTCTTTATTTTTCCAGGTGGCACTCCATTTTTCCATTATTCCAAGTTCCACCCTTTTGCCTCCACTCTTCTCTTTTTTAGGGCTTTAAAATGACCAAGAAAAAATCTTTATTCTCTTTTTGACACTTAGATTTCAGCTTAAGGTTGCCTATTAGTGTCAAAATAGATTAATATAAATTTCTTTCCATATCATTTGTAATTGTCAATATAAAGATTTAAAAAAGGGTTTTTAACCTCCTTTTCTCTCTCCTTTGCCGCTTAACGATCTTCTTTCAGAAGTATCCCTGTAGGTACTTTTAGATTCAAGGTACCTTGCTTAGATGTTCTCTGTTGTTTAGCCCGATCCGTCCTGCTTTCCTCTTTGTCTTCCTCCTGCACAATCTTATCCAGTCAGGTTCTTCTTTGAGGTGGCCATTTCTGACCACTGCTGCAACCGCCTTCGGGAAAGGGAGTTTAGACCAGCCAAGGAGGAGAGATGCGGCTCCCCTCCACTTGGCTAGCAATCTCCCCCCTCTTCACCTCTACGGGGTGGCTTCAGCCCCAAATCCAAAGGATCGAGGCGCTTCAGCGGCGAGCACAGATCGAAACCATGCACGATTGCGGATTTCGGTCTGTCGCTGAAGAGACCCAAACCAGAAGTCAACATGTTCATTTTTGTTGTGGCAATTCATCCTATAAGCGAGAGTTGTAATTTCTTCCAGTTATCCAAATCTGTCTTAATTTGTGGTATCAATTTTGTATAATTATCTTTTTAATATACTTTTCGCTGTTAGCCATATTCCTAAATATTTAACTTTTTTGACAATTTGCGTTTCCAATTTTTTTTCCAGTTCTTTGTTTCTTAGTAAGATTTTTTGTTTTATAATCTTTATTTTTATTTATTTTAAGACCTGCCACTTTTCCAAATTCTTCAATCTTTTGAATTAATTTGGTTCCCAATTCTAACAGTTCCTCAAGCACAAATACCAAATCGTCTGCAAAAGCTTGGACTTTATATTCCTCTTTTTTATTTTGAGACCTTTTATTTCTTGTTCCCCTCTAATCTTTTCAAGTTAACACTAGTCAGGATAAACATCCTTGCCTTACTCCCTTGAATATTTGAAAGTGTTCGGTTAACTCTCCATTTATTATTACTTTTGCTGTTTTTGTGGAACATATTGCTTGTACCATTCTTACAAATTGCTCCCCAAAATTCATAATTTCTAATTGTTTTGTAATAAACTGCCAATTCAAATTATCGAAAGCCTTTTGCACATCTAGAAACATCAATGATAATTGTCTTCCAGAATGTACTTCATAATATTCCAGTATGTTTATAATCGTTCTCAAATTATTTTTAATCTGTCTTTTTGGTAGAAATCCATTTTGATCTGGATGTATCAACTCATTTAACACCTTTTGTTAGCCTTTCCGCCATTATGGATGCAAATATTTTATAATCAATATTCAGTATTCTATAATGAAATAGGCCTTCAATTCTTTATTGGTTGGTGATTTGTCTCTTCTTTTGGGATTGATGCTGTGTATGCTTCTGACCAAGTTTTGGGTAATTTCGCTTCTGCCAGTGCTTCGTTATATCTATCTATCATAGTTGTCCCTAATGGCTTTTGTATATTTTTATAAAGTTCTACAGGTATTCCATCTGGGCCCGGGGTTTTATTGTTATTTTGTTTTTTTTACTACCTCTGCCATTTCCATCATTGTTATTTTTTCATTTAACATCATTCTTTTTATCTCTTCAATTTTGCTTAATTTTTTTCTTATCCAAATATTCTTTAACATTTTTTTCCATTATATTTTCCTGACTCTATAAATTCCTTAAAAATTATTGAATAATTTTCTTTTTCTCTTTTGTTCTGTGACATATATTCCCTTTGTCATCTTACAATTGGTGTATTATTCTCTTCTCCTTTTCTTTTCTTAATTTATTTACTAGCCATCTCTCTGGTTTATTCGCATGCTCAAAAATATGTTGTTTCATCCTTTTAACTTTTTGTGCCATTTCTTCCTGTACTATCAGATTCAGTCTATGTCTTATAAGTTCCATTTTCTTTTTAACTTTACCTTTTTGAGGGTTGTTCTTTAATTCTACTTCCAGTTCCTTAAGTTCCTCCTGTAGAACGTCTTGTTGATTTTTTTTCCTATTTTTTTCTTGCCACATATGCTATTGTCAATCCTTGGATGTACGCCTTTGCTGTGTCCCACAGCATTTGTGTTGTTGTTCCTTCTTTCCTATTTTCTGTGAAGAAGTCCAACTCCCTCTCCATCATTTGTACATATTCTTTATCTTTCATTATTGCTCGGTTCACTGTCCATCTTCCTCTTCTCTTCTGTCTTCTCCATATCACTTTTATTGGATTATGATCAGCCCAGGTGTTGGTCATTATTTCTGCTTCCTGCATATCATTCCTCAATCACGATGTCATCTATGCTATATCAATTCTTAACCATGAACAATGTGCATTTGAGCAAAAGATATACTGTCTACTTTTTTCATTTCGTTCCCTACATATGTCTTTTGTCATCTCAAAAAATGTGCTTGTAAATATTCTCCTCTTTAATTTTATTATTTTTACTACTTTTATAGTCCTTCTTAACCACCACCACTGCATTGAAATCACCTATTAAGCACTCATTTTCATATTCGGTCTTAATTATTTTTTCGTGTAGTTTCCGATAAAATTCTTTCTGATTATTGTTTGGTGCATATATTACAGTAAGCAAGATTTGTTTTAAATTTATTATTATTTCCATCATTAATACTCTTGCGTCTCCATCTGTATATATTTGTTTCACCTTTATCCTTTCCTTAATATACACAGCGATTCCCCTCTTCTTCTGTTGTGCTAAGGATGTGTAGAGATTCCCATTTTGGATTTTCCAGTATTTTAGCGTGGTGTTTCTTAATGTGGACTTCCTGAAGACATATTATATCTAGGTTCAATTTCTGTATCTTAGTCAACGTTTGTTTTCTTTTTGCTGGGGAATTTAGCTCATTGATGTTAATTGAGAGCATCTTTATTTCTTCCCCCATCTTGTTATTTGTATATGGGCCTTGCCCTTCTAGTTGTCCTTATCTCTCTTTGTATTTCGATTTGTGTATCCTGTCTCGCCGCTCGTTCTTTTTCCTGCCTTATTCTTTCTTTCTCTACCTCTTTCTCTTCTATTAGTTCTTCCTCTTGGCTTTTACTTTCACTCTCTTCTCTATTCTCTTGTTCCTCCTCTGTCGTGAAATACTGATCAAAAAATTCGTGTGCTTTGCTGGGTGTGTCGATCCTGAATTTTTTATCTTGCCATGTAATCAAAATACCTTCTGGGAGCAATCATCTGAACATCTTATTTATTCAGTTGAGTAGTTAAAAATTGGTAACATCTCTGTTCCCTGACCATTCTAGGTATCTGTCTTAATGTATGAATCTCTCTTCCTTTATATGTCACAGGTTCATCCTTTGTTCTCTGGTACACTTCCTCTCTTATTGTACTGGAAATATCTTATAAATAGCAATATCTGTATTTTTATGGATTTATGAGGCAGTACCCAATGTAAAAATTGTAATGGAAGTTTAGTATCCTCCAGAAATATGTAGAGCAATAGTGCTAACTAAGAATAATGTTGATTTTATTTTTTTGAAGAAAAAAGTGGAATATATAGTGCTATAGTGGAATTATGTAGTGCTATAATTTACATAAAAGTGGAAATTTATGTAAATTACAGCACTATATAAAAAGAAATATAAATATTTCCAGTTTAGGTACATTTTCAGATCGATAACATTATTTTCTTTTACAAACTTACCAAGATAATTACTTAACAATGTTAAGCCAATCAGTTTGCATTTGCAATTTGCAGCTATTTATTATTGATAATTAATTTACAGAACAGAAAATTATTTATAGAAAGAATTAAGCACTATAAAATATTCTGCCTTATATTTCATTAAAATATAGCCTTCCTTGAACTAAATAATATTTTAATTCACTTTTTCACTTTAGCCTTGTATCTTTTGTTGATTTTTTTCTTTTTTAGCAAAGAATTATGGCAAGCAGGGAAATTTAATCATACCTATTAATTGGTTGATAATAAGCCCTTTATAAGCCTTCCGATTTGTGTAAATCATAGGAAAGCAATACATCATTCCCCTTTTAGAGGCTTACAGTGAAGTCCAATCAACATTTTGTTTTGCATTCTAAGAATGTTGGTTTTAGAGAGCTATATGTGTATACATAAATAACTTCTTTCTGAATCCATGCTTTACTTTTCTTTGGTTCATAATCCATTATAGATGAGCAAGAAAACAGGTTTTTCAGAGGTTGTGTGAGCATATTTAACATTTTTACACATGCTGAGGGATATGATAACTGAAAATAGTATGTCGTAAGAAAGGATAGCTCTAATAATTGGAAGGATTTTTATTCTACATATTTTTATTTATTGAAATTTATTATCTGCCTGTATATGCTGTTTTTTGCACAGAGCATCCTCTTCCTGTCAATAATTTATTAAAATGGTTTAATTTGGATCAAAAAATAATAATTGTACAATCATACAATTAATCATATAATACATAAATACATACAATACATTGTATGATTAATTGGATTATGATACATGCTGAAAAACAGCTGGTATGGACTACTTTGTGAAGGACCTTTTAATGCAGGGGTGTCAAACTCAAGGCCCACTAGCTGGATCCAGCTCGCAGGATGTTTAGATCTGGCCCGTGGGGCTACCCTGGAAACAATGAAAGACTGGCCACAGTGCCACAGCCAGCGAAAATGGAGCTTGGGAGAGTGAGATGCTCATATTGATGTGTTAGTATGCTATTCTGTATAATTGTTATTTATTATTAATTTTCTCATCTTTCTTTTTGTAGAAGATGTATGAAGCATCCAAGGATCATAATTGTTGGAAAGTTTGTTGACTGCTATTTTCTGAAAGTCCTAAAACTTAAACATCAATCTGGCATGGCACAGGAAAGCCAGCAGTTAGATATGCAGGTACTCCATGACCTCCGGCAACGTTTCCCTGAGATTCCTGAAAGTGTGGTATCTCAATGCATGCTCCAGGTAGGTATTGGTTGCCCCTACAGTAGTTTCTCTTTGAAGTAGTAGGTAAGAGTAACCAAACAAGATACAAGGATAACTTTTCGGAAACAAAAAGAGTATGGAAAAAACTGGGACAGTGGATTATAGGAAAAGAGAATAAGAACAAATATAGTAAAATTTGGTTATTTTAGCCAATTTTCATTTATCTTGTTATACTTGTAGGAAACAGTTTTCTTTCTTCCCCTTTCTTTTTTCTTTTACAAATGAAATAATTCTATTAGGCTCCATTTAATTAAAAATAAAGTATAACTTAAATAGCATGGGCATAGCTAGAAATTTATATCCTACTAAAATCAGTGGGGATAAATTCATTCTTAAGTTCTAAATCTTCAAGATTGGTAGAAGCACCTTGATATGTTCAGCTTTTGTTCTTGAAAGTACTTTCTATCCTATATTTTCTTCCTATACAACTCTTCCATTCCACTATTAGTTTCATTTACATTTATGAAATAGAATATTGTACACATCCCCACTTGTGGGGAAAAAAAGAATTATTCTGTAGAAAACTCAAGCCTTAAAGAGATAGGTATTTCAGTTTCTATATACATCTCCCATATCTGTTTTACTACTTATCCCAAGCTGCAGTAGGAGTAGTAGTTAAACATTCTGGTTAATTTATTGAATAACACAAATCAGATATTCTGGTTTGGGGAAAGCTTTTTAACTAATGAGGTTTGGAGTGATAATACCTGTTTTAGAAATTTTTAGGAAGAATTAATGAGATACTTTATAGCTGCATAAATTTCAAAGTTGTAAGAAAATTTGTCTAGATCACACATGTCAAACTCAATGTTGGCGCACAATGTGGTTAGATCTGGCCCGTGGGGTTGCCCTGGAGAAAGCGAGGGGCTGACCCCTGCCGCCTGGTCCACCCCAGCCACGTGGGGCACTCTACCTGGGCACACACACAGGAAGTGTCGAGCACACGGGCTGGTGTTCCAGTGAAAGGGAAGTGCTCCTGGACTGCGAGGCCCTGGAGGCGGCAGAAAGCTGGTAGTGGGTGTGGCGCTGTGTCAGCATTCCAATTTGCATTCCAGTTTTGAATCTCCATGCAATTCAAAACTCCAAAACAAAGTCCATCAAAGTAAGAATTTATGAGAGAAGTCATGTTGGCACATCTGGGGAAAACCTGAATCTGAATTCCCGCATTTTCCCCCTTCCACACTAAACTCACACCCTGCCCCAATTTATGACTCCCCAGTCACATTAGCCAATCCACTGCTGAACTACCGCCAATTCCAGTCATTCCCCTCCAGACTCCAGCAACTTGTCCTTGATCTCTGACAAAAAATGTTATTGTGGCTATACTCCCTTCATCACTCTCCCATTCATAGAGTTTGCCCATCCCCCGCCCTAAATCTGAATCAAGATGGATCTGGAGCTAACAGGCTGCCTCCCCTCAAGCATTGATAACGTCCTGAAATGAGACAAGTGACAGGAAATTAGGAATAAAAACCAATTAATTACCTCTTTCTGCCCCCCAGGGGGGCCCTTTGGCTTATCGGCAAATATCAGCTTTACCATCCAATCTGCCTTTACATCCCAACTTTTCACCCAGGTGGCATGAGACAAAAGGTACACCTTCCAATGGATTAGATATTGTAATAGGCCTCTATGTAATCTAGAGTCTAGGATTTTCTTTACCTCATAATGTTTCTCATCCTGGATTACTATTGGCTTGGGAGCTGGCTGATCTCTTGGTCTTAATTGTGAGCTAACAGCCTGTTTCAATAAACTGCTATGGAATACCAGATGCACTTTTCCTAATAAGCGAGGGAGTCTTAGTTGCACAGTTACTGGGTTTATCACTTTCACTATTGGGAGCGATCCTAGGAATTTTGGACCTAGTTTCTTTGCTGGCAACTTAGCCTAAGATATTTAGTGGACAAGTAGACCTGATCTCCCACTTGAAAAGGGACTTGTGGGATTGGTGTTTGTCTGCCTGCTGCTTTTACTTTGCATCTGCTTGGGCGAGGGCACACTTGGTATTGTCCCACCCCTGTTTCAGTGAGTCCATCCACTCGGCTAGGGACATCGAAGTGGAAGGCTCTCTAGGTAGCTCAGGCATAGGTGTGAAGTCCATTCCACTGGTGACTTGGAAAGGTGTTAAGCCTGTGCTACTTTGGACAGCGTTGTAGGCTACGATCTGTGAAAGGTAGCAGATCGGCCCAATTTTCTTGCTGGTAGTCTTACATAGCATCTCAGGTATTGTTCCACCATGGTGTTCGTCTGTTCTACGGCCCTGTTCATGCTTGGATAAAAAGCAGAGCTCAGCCCTTGAGAGGAACCAACAGACCATAGGAATTCCCTCCAGAACTTTGCGGTAAATTGATCGGAAATAATTTGCCGCGGCACTCCATGCAGCCTATAAATCTGCTTGATGAACATTTTCGCTAATCTCTTAGTTGATAGTAATCCAGAGCAAGCAGTGAAATGCGCTTGCTTAGAAAACAAACCAACCACTGTCCAAATGATGGTATTTCCACCATTCTCTGGGAGTTTGACTATAAAGTCCATAGCTATTTCCTCCATGGACAGCTGGGATCTGCTACTGGCTGGGGCCAACCAGGCAGCTTCCCTAGTCACATTTTCATGGCAGCGCATGTTGAACAGCTTTTTACATAGTCCGCCACATCTGCCTTTATCTTCGGCCACCAGAACTGCCATCTTGCCAATTGGAGGGTCTTTAGGAATCCAAAGTGACCAGCCAACTGGGAATTGTTACTGTGTTAAAGTACTTTCAGCCTCAGGCTGGCAGAAGGGTACAACTTAGATTCCTTCCAAGCTAATCCATCTTGCAGTGTTAGGATGTTGGAGTTATCTTTTAGCCATTGGTCAGCGGGGAGCACAGTCCTCATCTCTGCAGTGATTGGGCCTGCCACATGGTCGTCCCGACTCCTAGCTTGGATGAGCAGCTGGCTGAGATTGGGGTACAACTGCATGTACTACTTCCTCCTGCCTGTTGTTAAACTGAGGTTTTCTTGACAGAGCATCAGCCAATTTATTTTTCTCACCTGGGATATGATTCAGTTCAAAATTTAAGCATTTAAAATATTGCGCCCAGAGGGTTTGCTTAGGGAACAGTTTTCTTGGAGTTTTCAGTGCCTCTAGGTTCTTATGATCAGTCCAGACTTCAAAAGGCAGTTTGCTGCCCTCGAAGAAATGCCTCCAGGAGAGGAGGGCCCATCTGACTATGAAGGCCTCTTTCTCCCAGATGGCCTATTGTCTCTTGGTGTCGGTCAGCTTTTTGGATACATAAGTGCAAGGTTGCAGCTGGCCCAGGGAGTTTTCCTGTAGAAGACTGCAGCAGCGGCGACATTGCTGGCATCCGCTTGTACTACAAATGGCTGGTCGGGGTCAGGATGCAGGAGGATTGGCTCTTTAGAAAACAGTCCCTTCAACTCCTCAAAATCTCATTGATGTTCAGTTCAACAGTTGGTTGGGTTTTGGTTTAGGGTTGGCCTCCTTGGTTTTTAACAGCTCAGTTAGTGGTAAAGCGATCTCAGAGAATGCAGGAATGAACTGCTGGTAGAAGTTTGCAAACCCCAAGAAACTTTGAAACTGTTTCCAGGTGGGAGGAGGCTGCCAATCTAGCACCGCTTTAACTTTGGCTGAGTCCCATTTCAATTCCCTCGTTTGACCCTTGGTAGCCCAAGTAGTCTAGGGAAGTCTTATGGAACTCACACTTTGACAGCTTGGCATAAAGCTTAGCTTCTAGGAGTTTTTTCAACAGTTGTTGCACTAGTTTAATGTGCTTCTCCCTTATCTCACGGAAGATGAGAATGCCATCCAAGTAAACCAAGACCCCCTTGTATAGGTGCTCATGTAGCATCTCAGTAATGAGTTGCATAAACACTGTGGGGGCTCCCTGGAGCCCAAAAGGCATGTCATGGAGGGAGAGTCTGAGAAAAGAGTTGCCTTAGCACTTGGCCACCAGCAGCCCTGCTGCCTTCTTGCCATCCCCTTACCTCTTCCTCCTCCTGGCCTCTCCTGGTGGTCTCCCATCCTATCGCTGAGGATGCTTTGCTTACAAAGCTGAGTCTCCTTGCATGGAGAGGGAGTGGGCCTCCCTCTGGCCCATGCTTTGCCCTCCTGCATCCACCATAAGCATCCTGGCCAAGGAGAGCAAGTACAGCAGCAGCAGCTTCTAACAGGAAGTAAGCACGGCTGGGCACCCCCTTGGTGAAGGGCGACTGGCCAGTCTGTGCGGTCACAGTGCCCCAGGAGCTCAAAGGCCAGGCTAGGTAGTTGCCCTCTGCCTTGCACTGCCATCCAGGGGTCCTCCGCGTGGCCTGAGGTGGACAACGAAGCTCCTTTGGTGGACAAAGCTTAGGAGCTTGCCGTGCTTTCACTTCCTCCGTTGGAGACCTTTGGATCCCCCCGCCCAGCCTTGCCTGACCTCCCATAGGAGGTGGAGGATGTTGATGCTGTGGGTGGAAGTGCAGAGGAGAAAGTTTTCAGGAAGCAGTTTCCTTCAAGTCTAACTTCTCACTTGACAAATCTGTGGAGAGAGGAAGGAGTAGCAGGGGAGCTGCATGAGGGAAGTCTGCCCCAACAAGCCAGCATCCTTACCACACACAATTGGAAAAGGGGATTCCCTTTTGAGAAGAGCCAGCCTTCCTCATGCAGGACTGGGAAGTGCTGCTTCTCCACTGAGCTGAAGGGAGAATCCAGGATGGGTAGTCTCTAATCTCCTAGCTCTGCAGACCGAGTTGAAAAACTGAGGACACACCCCCTGGCAACAGTCTCCAGTTCTTTACTCGGTCTCAGTGTGTTCAGACCACCCTTTAAGGGCTCTGAATAGTTAGGATTGTAGAAGAATATTCACCCCCTGGATTAAGCTTTTTTTTCGCAGAGAGGCTTAGATCAGGTTTGCCGGTTTAGCACTTTCATCTTTTTATGCTTTTTTCCAGTTCGCGTTTTTTGCTTGTTATTTTAAATTTTGACTTTCCTTGCTGGTG